TTATGAAATAATAGTTAAAAAATAAATACTGAAAGCAAAATTTATTTTTAATTAATTTTAATTTATAATAATAGTCTTGATAAGCCTTTTTAATTATTTCTAAATCTATATAAATAAGAAATAACTTTCTTATAATTACAATTAACAAAATTAAAAAATTGTACGTACTGTGATTTTTTTTAATTACATAATTAAATATGTAATTATAATTATAGTTAGAAAATTTGTATTTATCCAACTAACGCAATTAAATAAATTAGGATAAATTAATATAAGTATGATTTATGACTGTATTTTTGCCAATCTGCAAGGGGATCCTAAAGCCATCTGTTTTATCGATTATTTCTCAAATAAATATTTTTCTATCTATATATATACAGATTTAAAAATCCTTCTCCAGTTAAAGTATAAGCGATATTATAGTCCAAACTGGTCGACCTTGTTAAAAATGGAAAAAAGTTGGAAAATTACAGTTTTGTTATCGGCTTCTGACGTCTACTCGCAACAATATTTGCTTCATATACAAGTTTTGTACTTTTTGTACGTATAAAAAGAATCTTGATTTTTGACTAGGAATTACATGAACAAAAAATGTTTTTAGAATTAGGCTTAGATACCTAATATAAAAAAATTAATTAGAAAATTTGTATGCGTGCGATATTGCTGTAGTAGTGTGTAGTGATATGTCAATGATATGTAATTCGTATATGTGTAAGTTCTACTGAATCGGTAATACAGACGGCTTTAGGATCCCCTTAATTCTTTCAAAAATTGTCAGCTAAAAAACGAAGAGGAATAACATGAAACCCCGTGAAGGATTAATATTTTTTTAACACGTATATTTCACTTTCCGTTGAAAAATAATGCCGTAAATTGTCGTAAGAAATAATAGAATCTGCACAAATCAACTCTCTCTTTCTTTCTTTCTCTCTTTCTCACTCACTCTCTTTCTCTCTCTTTCTCTCATTTTCTTTCTTTCACGCGTTGCGCACCGCTGTTATTCGCTACAAATATTTACAATGACTGGAACTGTCGTCCGAAGAGGGGTTTATTATTTCTGAAGGTGAGGAGATGATATTAAAGCGGAAACAACCGCATCCCCAGCGCCACTGGATTTTCTTTCTTAACAGGGAAGGGATAGTGATTATGGGAAAAGAGAATATATACGATCGCGCAGAAACGAGCAGCGATTCCATTATACAGCGATAGCGAAAAAGTGTGCAGTTACAGCCTACCCTGTTCCTCCATTCAAAGACATTCACGAATACATTATAGAATCCGACGATTTCTTGAAACGCACGACTTTAGAGTGTTGCAATAAATAGTAGCGAGCGATAGTTATTAAATAGCAATATCGATAATTAGTAGATGCGCCTGGCAGCAATACGAGACGAGTCGTGAGTCGTTCTCGTAACGTTCGCGCGATAAATTGACAGAGCGGATTAGAGGGAAGGGGCAGGAAACGACGAGTAAAAGACGAGTGCGATAAAGTTTCTGGTCGTGGTCAGGAACATGCGACATTTAGTACACATCGAGTACATTTAAAAGTGTCTTACGTATACCACGCGCCGCAAATGTGTAATCTTCGCTCGTTCGATTTGCACCTATTACTCGCTGGATAAAGTCAGATCTAGACTAAAAACGAACGCGCACAAATACGAATAAATAACTTTAATGAACGCGGGACATTTCGAGTTTACAAATACAGAGTGATTCGTGTAAAGTGACCGATTTAATTATTAGCAAAATTTGAAGATACATGAAAAAATAGTTTGTTATACAGTGAGAGTTCAATAAAAAGAGGGACATCATATAGTGAAAACAAGTATTTTATGGAGAGAGACATTGGGAATATTTAAAAGTCAAGTTCATTTTTTAAAATTATTAAAAAATTAATTTACGAATTTGATATTTCATGTACCAGAATAAAATATGATATAGGAATATCTCATAATTTATTGTTTTTTTTTTATTCCTCTACCTCTACTTTTATATGCAGAATAATTAGAGAAATCATGTTATGTAAAAAATTTCATATAATTACATTGAAAAAAATAAAATTGTCTTCACACAACGCTTCTATCTATAAAATAATCATTTTCACTATATAATGTTTTTCTTTTGTACTGAACACACATTGATATAAACTACTTTTTCATATATCTTTAAATTTCGGTAATAATTCCATGGTCACTTTATACGAATCACTCTATATATTCTGTAACTATCGCATTTTCTCTCAACAAACAATCCCATTTAGAAGAAATTTAAACATTTCTGCTTCCACTCTCAATGCATATTATTTAATAGTCATTAGAGTTTTATTATAACACAAAAAATTGAGTTATTCTGTCTTGCCTTTTAACAGAACTATAAACTTCGGAAATGTGAATAGATAAATATTAAAACGAAATGGAATTTTTTATTTTCGATATTAATTGACGTCGCATTTTCTTATCTAACTATAAAAGAATCTGCCATTAAAAGGAAAGGTGAATCTAGGATATCCTGGTACACATGCTGCAATGCGACTCTCCTGTACAGTTTAATTTTATCCTGTGAGATCAGTATTGCATGTTTAATACATCGATAAACGTGTTTTCTAGTCTCTCGTGTCGTTCGTACGCCTTACTAGTTTAGCTGTTAGGTACTTGCGCAATTGCGCTTGCAACAGAAAAGATATGGAATAAGCGCAATTGAACTAATACAGTTACATGCTTTATCAACATTACTAATACAATTATGCGCTTTGTCAACATTATGTACTTGTATAATGTATATAATGGTATAATGTTTTAATGGCTGTAACAACGATATAGCAGAAAGATTCCTTGCACGTAACAACTTCGACAGTAAAAATAGTATTTAGGTACGTAGCTTTATATATTGTAAATGAAGTAAAGTTAATGTAAAGATTCTTATTATTTTTTATAACGTAAAAGTAAACGTGTTAATTATATCTTTTAACCGAGAAGCAGTCAGCTAGCAGGTTCTAACTCCATTTCCCTCGGTAATGTCTTTCTACGATGGAAATGTCACGGCAAAACCTTTCACCGTGTTCGTCGCTGACATCTGTGGTAATTTTATTTACAACAAACAATAAAATAACATCTTGCAAAAATTCAAAGTAGAGAAATGTTAAATATCGATTTAATATTAATGATGAAATCTTTCTTAATCAATTTAAAAGATATAAGTCATCCTTTAGCAATGTGATCTCCATTTAGCAATCTAAAATATAAAATGTAGACGTATATTTTTTTGCGCACCGAATAAAATGTATAAATAATTTCAGTGAATATTTAGCTTTAATCAATATCTGTGATTGTATATAAAAATTATGTCAGCGTATACATTCGCAATGTTGTATAGACAGATGCCATTAATGACGACAATAATTTGCAAAGATGTTCTGGAATCGTAACATTATTTTTCGATAAATATCTTATCGAATTTAAGCATTTCCGCTTTTACTTTTAATGGATATTATTGTACGATTACTTAACGCGTCACAGGACTTTGTCAAAACGAAAGATCATTGCGAGTTAGCGGTGCAATCGAAAGGATCGAGCGTCGAGGTAGGAATTGAGATAATTTTGTGCGCGGGGCCATTTTTCCCGAGACCTGACATTAAGATCCAGCATCGATTTTGCAAGATTCGAGCTTGTTGTCGGCGCGAGTCAACAGGAATTCGAAATGGCTTTTCGCAGTGTAGCTAATAGATACCTAACTACAAAGTACGTATAGTTCGACCGCCCATTTACGGAACAAAGCATGTTCATCGAAGATCATGTACAACAATGGAACTCTTAAGCGTTCGGAGCTTTGCTTTTGCACTCTCCGTCGTTCCGGTTACGATTATTTGAGGTTGCGTAATTGCGATTGTTAATGAATAATGATCGAGCGGCCTGATCGGGTCGTATGTACGCGTGAGTCTTTTTTGAACGGTTTATGTGACGTTTGTCGAAACAATTTTCATAACGGAAAACTTGCGTGGTTTGACGGAAAAACATGCAAGCCTGATTGTGGCGCAAACGCTCGTAAAGCGGAGAATGAATGAAACAGTCTGACCTAATTAACCGATCTTGTACGTTTACAGCGTCTTATGTAACGAATACGTGTACATGTATATCAACACATTACATAATTTTATTAGTATATTAATATTGTCATACTCTCAGGAATATAAAATTATCCTGCCGCTAGAGGATTAGAATTTTTCATGTAATAATTTTGATCTGTAATATTTTATAATATTTTAATATCAAACACGATTTTCCCATAGCGTGAATGCTTAAAAAAGATTTATCGATCTTTTACATTTTATTTCCTAGATGGGCATTAACACGAATTTAAAAAATGTATACTCTTGCAATATGCATTTCCTTACAATGATTTTGTAAATTTATTTTGTCTCAACTGATACGCCATTTTTCTCATCTCAATTCTCGTGAAATTTTCGCTGACGAAGCCAAGAAGCTATCACGTTGAACTGAATGCATATCTTCTTATTTCCACTTATTAAATTAAATTAAGTAATTCAAAATTTATATGCGTTAAGACAGCGATCTGTTTACAGACGCTAATTAATACAGATGGAAGGAGAAGTAGAGTTTCTATTCAATCGCCTGAATCCCGTGTTGAAACAGTGCCGAAAGGATAAAGAATAGCCGTGCCGTAGGCGCATTTCGCTCAGACTGTATGGCTAAAAGACGCGCATCTTTGTGAATTATAAGATCTTTATAAAATACATTTTCAAATGAATTTAACCAAGTGAAATAAAATTTTCTTGAAAGGAGGAAGAATATACATTAGGAACAATCGCCATTGTTAGCAAATTACCTTGTGAAATGTCATCCACAGAAATTAGCTATGCGTTTGTTATGTATATGTGATTTTTGAATCCATATAATAAATATTAATTTGAATAAGTCTTGTACAAAAAACCATCTACATATTTGATGGCTTCTTCATATCGCGCATTTAATTTCTCTAATTTCTTCATTACTTCTGTACTATGAACTGGCAGTTTGTATTTGTTTTATTAGCTAAAGAAAAAAGACCTGTTTCCGCATTTCATAAATATCGAAGACTCTTCCGCATGATATTAATTGGCTTTTTGGGCGAATCGCTCAAATACGAGATTTAAAAGTTCATGTACGTGCGTTTTAACTACTATGGACGGATGTGTCCGTGTCGATTTTTATGCGACTTCGCCAATTAAAAGATGACGATATTCTACTTTGATTCGTGATCAACTGGGGTAAATATACGATTATCAGTAATTATAATTATCAGTACGTATTATAGTTACAACAATTTAAATTGCATTGGATATATTTATTGATAAGGGCAGTGTGTCGAAAATGGGCAGCGACATTCAATTCCATGCGACTTTGATTCTATTCTTCCTTCGAACTTTCGATTTGATTGCGAACTTATTGGACGTACTTTCGGCGTTACTGGGCATTTCGGACCGCAAGTAGTTTTTTCCATCCGGCCATTCGCAACTTACGATACGATTCTAAAAGATTTCAATCAACTGTGTGCAATCGATAAAGTTTGAGTCAACGACAACGCGCTGTCATTTTTCGAACGAGGCCAAGTCAGTTCGCGGACAGATGATTTAAATAAATCCACCCAGCGCATCGTGGAAATCTTGCAAATAGGCGAGCAGCTGCGGCATGGTTGGTCGATCCCTGGGGGGACTGAGCCAGCCGGGGGGGGGGGAGCCGATATCCGTCTCGGAGACACGCCATCATCTCGAATGGGTCTACTTCTACGTACGGCTGTTGACCCAGTGTCGCCAATTCCCATAGGAATACCCCGAAGGCCCACTTGGAAGCAAAGAAAATATCTCATTAGAGGATTATCTTTTTGCGTAATGTGATTTAATTAATTTTTGTTTAGAATGATTTAATGTACTACAATGGCACACAACTTCTACTCTTTAATTATTCGAGACATAAATTCTGTTTTAATATACATTTTTTCTAATTTATATATTTTAAAGCGTAAATTTTTATAACATATAAAATATATAAAATTATAATAAATATAAAACAATCTATAATTCTATTGAGATGAAAAACAGAACTGTTTATTAAATAAATCAACAAAATACGAAGAAGCGTCACTTACGATTCACGATTTTAAATCTATAACTTTTTCATTTCAACTTTCAATCCATGACTCTCTTTAGAAATATTTTATTAGAAAATCTTATTATATATTAGTTCATAAAAACATGTTTAAATATATTTATTTAGATTTGCCAAGATACAATATTTCTTCGAAAAAAGCAACATAGTTTCGATTTTGTCTGTATGTAAATTGGGGTTCGTACCACGTCGGTCGCCGTACTATATTCGTTACGCTGGAGACTCTCTAGGGCCATCCAGCGTATGGGTCGGTTCTCGTTATCACCCAGACAATGATAGTCCTGAGGGAAGAGATCTCGAGCCAGGGCAGCATCAGCTAGTCTCACACGAAGACTGCCCGGTTCGATTATACAATTTCTGGCAGCAATATCCCTAGAAATTATCGATTTTACGATGAAAATTATCGTCAATATTTCGGTAAAAGCTATGTGTAGATAGACAATCTTGTATACCGCGAGGAATAATAACGTTATCTTTAATGGTAGCTCTGATTGCAACAATCTATTTTATTATTTATTCAAATAAAATAGATAGATAATTTGTGATAAGATGCGATAAAACTTATTTGTTGATTTTATATTTATAGAGACATGTGTCTGATATTTTAGATTATTTTCGTGTGTCTGATATTTTAGATTATTTTCGTGTGTCTGATATTTTAGATTATTTTCGTGTGTCTGATATTTTAGACTATTTTCAATTTACCTGTGTAATAGACCTCGCCCATGAAGAAATGCCCCAGCTCGAGCAACCTGCGCACCAACATGTACCAAGTCTCTAGTCACGGGATGGTGATTTCCATCCGTAAGGTAGACCTTCAGGTTAAGCTCACCAGGCGTGCTTGTATAAGCCAGCAAAGGACATGAACTGTCCAGACAAGCTGCCGCCAAAGAGGCGATGTTTGTATGAACTAATCCAGCCAGTTGCGAGCCTTCCACCACCAAAAGAGAAGCTTGGTAAGCGGATGCTACCTCTAAAACAAACAGTATTATCGAGTATCAGTGATAGTTTAATTAAAACGACCACATATTAATCAGAAACATTTGTTTTATCGATAAACTATTTTTCTCATCCTAAAACTATTTATTTTTAACAATTGGTAATGCATTCAATAATTGACTATAAATAAAATCAAAATCCAAAATTGTAGTTGAAATCATCATTTTGTTTAAATAAACATGTAATTTTATAATCGTTTTTTAATGAAGTAGATCTCACGTATCTCTTTTACTTTGTTAAAAGTTAAAGCTGTCAAAAGTTAAAGCTCTGTGTGTGTGTATATGTGTGTGTGTGTGTAGTGCGAATGTGTATCCAAATAAAAATTACTTCTTCTAAACGTTTGTGAATGAATTGTATAACAGAATAACGCAGAAAATCGACTTGTAATTATTTAATTTTATATTTACTAAATATTAATCCAATCATGTAGCATTATGGATAGCCGATAATGGATATAATAACTTTCTATCTTATCGTGAATAGATACTCTCTTAATCTACTATTATAATCTTTTTCTAAAAAAGATTTATAAGGTAATTATAATTCACATAAATTCATTTGTAAATTTACAAATTTATTAAACCAATTATTTGTTACTAAATTGAAAATTTCAACTAACAAAACAATACATTCCTTTAAAAATCTGTAATCACAATAAATGCGACTTGCATTGTGTATAATTATTTTTTAAACTAATAATAAGTCTTACCTGTAACTGTTTTTATGATGACTTCTTGCTCCCGTCCAGCCAACTCCAAAGTTCCTTTGTATACGCGACCGAAAGTCCCTTCCTGCACAAGAGTACGGCAGTATAATGCCGATCTCGATATTGCGAGTGCCCTGGCCTTCTCACACGGATCGGTCGACTAAAAATCCATAATACATCCTTTAAAAAAATGCCATTCTATTCAATTCGATAAAAATTAAAAAATGTGTCAAAGAGGATATTATACACATACATATATATAATAAAAAAAGGAGGGTAGAAATTTTCAAGAGTTTTGTCACCGGTCGGGGATCATTTTATTTCTGTTTTCTTATGTATTTTTCTTCATAGAAACCGAAAATAATCATTATAACGCCAGACTTAAAAATTGGTACATCGAAATAAAATGAATAAAATCCTTAATCGCATCGTTATATTATAAAATTACTGTCAGTTATGTTTCAATAATTTATTTATAACATTAATTTCAAATTGGATCAAATGCGAATAATATTGCACCACAAAACGTTAATTAGATTATATTTTTAATTATAACATTTGTCATCTCGGCACCGTTTCCCTCACTCCAAGCGATGCACAATGCTTGGAGTGCAAGATGACAAATGTTATAATGAAAAATATAATCTAATTAACGTTTTGTGGTACAATATTATTCGCATTTGATCCAATTTAAAAGTAATTTAATATATTATTGAAATATAACTGACAGTGATTTTATAACGATACAAAAATTTTATTCATTTTATTTCGATGTTTCAATTTTTCTTAAGTCTGGCGTTATTATAATGATTATTTTTCATTTTCTACAAAGGAAAATACATAAGAAAACATAAAAATAAAAAAACGATCTCCGAGCGAAACTCTCGAAAATTCTATCCTCCTTTATTGACGAATTTATTAAATAAAAATTTGAACTCTCGGTAATAATAACAATAAAGAGAAGCATAACAAGATCACTATATGAATAAATCAAATAAGTAAAAAAGCGGCAAACACGATCGAAACTAAATATTACTGCCTAATAATATATTTTTATATGTAAATTTTAACTACATCTTTTAGTTATATGAACTACGGGCCAATTATTGTCGAATTTACAACGCAATTATAAATTAAATTGATTATTGATTTGTCAATAATGCTATTATATCTAGCATCTTAAAATACTATAAAGAACTTATTGCAAAAAAAAATGTAGGAGAATCCTGTTTGCCCACATCACTTTTACTGATATTTCTGTTTGCGCATAAAAATTATTGCCTACAACTCGATTGCTTACAAGTATTTTTGCGCACAAGTAAAAAATTTTTACTTGTTCAATTTCAGAAAATGAAGTTATATTTTCGATTTACAGGCAAAAGGAACCGTTTCAAAAAATATTACCTCAGTCAGGATTCAAATTTTCTGACTATCCAGTGGATGCTCTTCTAATTTTAATCACTGAGTGATAATAATTTTTATATAACAATTTATATAACTGAAAGATATGTTTAAAATTTACATAAAAATTATCAAGCAGCAATATTTAGCCTCTCGATCATGTTTGACCCTTTTTTACTAATTTGATTTGTTAATATGAAGAAGAATAGTTTCTTTCTCCAAAACAAAATTACAAAAGACAAAGGATGAAAAAATGCAATTGTTATCTCTCAATGAGAAATGAGTAAACTACGTGATTACTATGATTTATATATTAGTAGTTAACAACCCGAGCCCTGCTGTCGTTTAAAATCTCAATTGCGCACGGACGCGCCTGCATAATTCATAACTTCCGAAAAAAAAAACTTCATCAGTCGGGGATTCATTAAAAAGGCATTTGTCGTGTGTAAGGTGACGCCGACGAGACCTCGCGCAGATCCTCCGGGGACGCGCAGGGAAGAATCCTCCCCCCGAGGGTCGTTATGGCATCGCCCCGCGGTCCTCTTTGTTCGCCAGGCGGATTTCCATCGGAGTCGACGTAAAACGCGAGAAAGCTACGCGAACGCGCGCACGGGAGGGGTGACTATTCATTAATTTCAATTTTCCGGAGTTTTGCCTTCGGCCCCCGCCCGTTTCATTTGGACGTACGCACACGCGCACGCCCACGCATAGAAATGAGGAAACGAGGAAACGCGACGGGTGGAGAAACAGGATGGAGACATGGCGGGGAAAAATAAAGAGAAAAAAAAAAGGAAAGGAGACGACGTAAAACCAGTTCGAAACACGTCGATGCGACCGCGCCGCGAAATTACCGGGCGATATATTGGATCCGAGAAAGGGGGTGCGCGACGGCGGCGGCAATTCGAATGGTCGGTAACGCCGTTCCGGGGTTGATTCCGGGGATTGGCCCGGAGTGGTCTCGGAAATTATTTACGAAATTCCCGGATAGCGCGGGATGCTCGGTGAAAATGCAAACACCGCGGCTAATTCCGCGGCTTATCGGGGTCTGTGATTATTGCAGAGGCGAATTGTGTCGGCGCGTCTGGCGAACGTTGTTTTCGCACGAACAACGGGAAAGCCTGAACGCGGACGAATCGCGATTTCGTCGATTTCGCTTTCCCTCGCGGTTATATTTTCTTCTTTTTTTCCCCTGCGGTTTGGGTGCCTGTGTATGCGCTCGCGTGTGCTTTTTTTTTTCGTTTTCCGATGAAAATGTGATGAGCGAGGTGGAAATTGCTGGGCGGGGACAGCTCGACGTGTTAAAGGTGCGAATGGAATTCGTTGTGTTGCGTAACGAAGCTATAAATATAAATTAGATTAGAATTAAGAAATTAAAGATTCTTTTTATATATATTCTTTTTAGCAATTCTCTAACGTGATTAATCTCAAAATGATTGAAATAATTTTTAATCAAATATTATGCTGCACGATTAAACGACCATTGCATTCAGTAAAAAATTGCTCGCTATTAATTAATATTGGTAGTTCCGAGAAGTACATCAATATAACGAGCAAAATAAACCGATTATTGTATTGTTACCTTTTTTCCAACTCTTCATATGTTTTCTAACTATTATATACAATTTATATTTATACTGCGAATGTATTGTGTTTATCTATAATATCTTTTGCTTATTGTTTACATTAATTTATTTATTAATCAAGTTGTTATATAATATAGGAATTAAATCACCATTTAGCTGCAGCCTCTCTTTTTTGTAATTAATATCTTTATTTATACCATATTTACATATGTGTTATTCAATACGTCTTTTTATTATTTGCATCCAATAAAGTTATTATTACTATTAAGTTAACAATTCATGTTAGCGTTTTGAATTAAAGAAAAATCACAATTTCGATTTGAAATCGAATAATTCATTACGTATTATTTATTTATCAAAGCACAAAAATAATAGAAGATACGTTTTGCCGTTTGATCAGGCAACTATCCGAAATTTTTCGTGCATCTAGTAATGGATATTACTTCGCTATTTACATTACGGAATCAGAATCATAGTATCGACCATGTAGCGCCACGGGCAGAACCCGTTTTTAGCTCATCCAGCGCGGAGCAGCAATTTGATTTATTTACTGAAAGGCTTTCGTCAAACATCACGTTCGTTCGTTCACTCATTCGTTCGTGCGTTCGTTCGTTCGTTCGTTCGACCCGCTGAAGGCGCTCTAAAAGCTTCGTTTTCAGACTACCACGCTCGACATGCCCACAGCACTTTTAATTCGACCCCGCCGATTTAATAATACGGTTTTCCGTCTCCCTCGATTAAAGCGGCGCTTCGGCATGACGGTACGGAACTCCGCGGACGTGAGAATTAATTAAATCGAAGAATCAGCTTTTACGTAACCCCGCGTAACTAGTAGTAGTTAACGCGACCGTTAACTAATATAACACGATATATGAAGTAATTGATAACTCAACGGCGCCAATTGCCGACGCGACGTCTGAACTTTTGTAATTCTATTATTATCTTCAATGATTATATGTCTTTAATCCGCTAAAAATTATTACCGTCATGATATACGGCGTCGCCTCAATTGATTTACAAGATAAACTGGCTAGACGCTCGTAAGGTAATTGTTGCGTTCAACGCCAACTTAGCTGTTGGACGCGACAATAGGAAAACAGAATTTTGAAACATAAAATTCTTTTAGGAATTAGTGCTCTTTTAGAAATTCACTTTTTTTTATTTACGTAGCTTTTTTTTAATATTTTAAAAACAGTAGGTTTGACTGCGTTGTTTAAAGTCCCCACAAATTTTTGCACTTAAAATGAGATAAATATATATTCGGACGTTGAAGAAAGAAAAAACGAAGAAGCTGAGTGCAAAAAGGGCAAGCAACGCAAATAAATCTAATTAATGTAATTCGATAATCAAGCAAAACTTCCTTCGTAGAAAAATAATGCAATAGTCAAATTACATGTAGAGAGTTAGACTTCTTAGGCCCGATTTTTTTATTATCTGGTTAATTTTTATGGTTTTTATTTAGATTCTTAATAATGTATAAATTGTAATTTTACAGTTACAATCAATCACTGAACTAATGGTTTTATAATGGTAACTTTGAAAGTTATTCACTATGAAACCATCAGTTTAGTGATTAATCATAGGTAGACAAATACAATTTTTACAGTATTATTAAGTTAAGCCTAATCACGAATTAACTAGTAAATGAAAAGCCTTAAGATTAATTTATAAAATTTAATTTAATCAAAAGGCCTTAAGATTAATTTCCTGTGTGGATCTTAAGCCCATTTCTATCAATGTAATTAATTTTAATCTTGGTTTAATTAACTCTTCGTCCTTTTCTAGTTCCAGAAGAATTAAAAAGGATGAAGTAAGTTATTAGATAAATATTATAATTACTATTACGAATACATGGGAAGATCAAAAATAAAATACCATAAACACGTGAGCCGGTTATCTCAATCGCGATCATCGCAACAGAAGTGCTTGCAACTTTTACGAGGAAAAAAAAGCCCTGAGTATTGATGTGTTCCCGCGCAGGCCATGTGGAAAATGCCGGATCGTCAGGCCATTCCGCCATTTCGTTGCGGCCGACTCTCTCGCGTGGAAATCCACGGTGGTAGATCCAGGAGGAAAGAGGACGTGTGTTTGTCTTCGTGCTGAAGATCGTTTCCTCTGATAGACAGCGTCAGGTAATGGCTTCCCCAGCAATGGGATCTCAAGCGTATCGTTTTACAGGGTGGGGTAAGACGCTGTCGCTGGATTACGTCAGTCGGTCGGTCGGTCCGTGAGACGCCCTCGGGATGACTGGGGACGCGAAGAGGGTAAGGTTTTCACGAAGGTTCATGGCTACATCAATCGGTCGGTGTACGTGCGTACGTGCTCGACGTACGTACGTGAGCGTAAACTCTCACGGCGGTATGCGCACCCCGAGGTCGCCTCTGTGTGCACGTTCATGGGGTCGGTTGCGTTCGAGACGGAGTGTCGCGTCGGAGGGTTCGCGCACATACGCGCGTGTACCCGGTAAATTGATCCAAGATCAAAGCCGAAACAATCACAGGACCCACTTCCAACCACTCCTTCTCTCTCCTTCTCCTTCCTTCTCTTTCCTTCTCCTCTCTCCCTGCTGTTTCCCTCGCTGTCGAACCTCACCCTCTCGCGTCCTCCTCCTTTCGATACGCACCACGTCTGAGGAGGGCGAGTGTCGACGTTAACGTCGGAGGGTGTGAGGGTGTATGTGTGTGTGTGTGTGTAACCTCTGCCTGCAGATGCATTCTCCCTCTCCCTGTCTTTCACGCCCGACAAAGTACAGGTGGTATCCAGAACCGGCATTTCTTTTCCCAGGGAAATTAATGCAAAACGCTTGTTCCGAAAGAGAATAGGCAACGCGATCTCATATTTATTCGACATTTTCGCGCGACCCTCGCTCCAGTCTTTGACTGCGCACTTTACAGGAAGATATCCTCTTCGGAGGATGGCGGGTAATAGTGGCGGGTAATAGCACGTGCTTCAAAACGGTAGTTAAAACGAAGCGGCGGACTGTGACACGTGGCGATTGCGTGTGTAGCCAGTTATTGAAATCGACCTTTATCACTTGCTTTTTGCTCGTAAACGCCGCGTTATGCGCGAAGATTATCTGTGAATTGCTTTATCTACCCTATAAAGATAGTTCTATAAATTATCAGTTCGTTTTTTCGATGAGCCATTTGTCTAGATACATTTTTGACTGAACAGAAAACATTATTTTATATAGATTGTAAAAATCATGTCTTACAAAAATAATAAATTCCGAAAAGATATGATGAATGAAATTTTTATTCATAGTATCTTAAGTATATGAAAAATATATAAAATATTATAAATATAATAATAAAAATATATAAATATAATTTTTATAAAGTGCATTTTTTATTCCTGTTTTGATTTCTATTGAATACACATTCTGCTAATCAATTGAAGCATGCATCATTTAGATATGTATATCGCAGTATCGTGTATAACAGAAAAGAAGAAATTAATTTAATATTGAAATCAAAGGCGAAATCAAAGCGAGCCAGAAGCCTTTAACTATCTTTGAAAATTCTAATTTTATTGAAAAGAATTATATGGCATTTCTTGAAGAAACGGAACCAACGAAGCGCTTGATGCGCCAAACATCGTTTTTCCCAAATACGAACTCAAAGATATGAAAGGGATCAAAGACGCGATCAGTAGTTATGTCAAAGCAACGATAGAAGCAAACAAGGAGAGAAAGAGATTTCGTTCGCTTGAAACGAAAGAAATCGACTGACATGCTCGAGAAGATGGAAGGAGAGGCGAAAAAGGCGCTACACGCGTAGACCTTTTCCCTTATGTCTCAGAAAGGAGGGATGAGAGTTGTAAGTCGGTGGGTTTAGAATCGCTGAATAAAGAGCCGAAGGGTTGGAAAGGGTTGGGCGCCAAAGTTGTCCGTGGAAAGCGGCTCGCTCGGCCGCAAACTCGATAAAGTTGCGAGGCGCGGCACTCGTTGTGTATACGGGACGAGACGAGACGATACAGGACGGGATGCGGGATGAGACAGGAGGAGGAGTCGTCTCGCGCTGCTTCCGCTTCCGGTAGTCGATGGCAGACGCGGAGTTCGCGATAGTGAAGTGGAAGGAACGACCGGGAGAAAATCGGATTTCCTGATGCGCAATACGAGTTACGCGTTCGTCGTCGAGTCTGTTTCACGGGCTGTTTCCTTGCGATTAAAAAAATCCTGAAGCGTGAGTATGCGCGAAAAGGAACAACAAAATAATATTGTAAAATTTTAATACTTTAATATTTTGAAAAGAGAGCGAGGGGAATATAATATACGATAATGTGATGAACCATAAATTTTTGAATAATCATCCAAGTTACACCCTTGTGAGATTTATTATTTATTATCTTAAGAATTGAATCTTTAGTTAATCTTCAATTAATCTCTGGCAAACTAAAACTCATTTGAATTTTAATGTATTCAAAGAATATCGAATATTCTGATCATATTGATTTAAAAGAAATTGGATTCATATTAATTAAAAAAACTTTGACGCTTTGAAATTAAAAATCTAGATCTTATTTATACGATATAATATATATAATGATAAATTAATGCTAAAAGGTAACGATGATAATTTTATATGAATATAAAATAACAGTTTTGACACTTCGTATACGTTTTTATAGCTTCGAACCGACAATATTGTTTATCTCTCAAGTCGTATCATCGCATACCTGGCTGAGATGCGTCACGTGGCTCGCCGCGTAGTAACTAGCTCTGGAACCGCATGGCCTCGCATACAGCGGCTCGAGGTCGGCGATAGTAGCGTAACTTCCGGAATTCGCACTTCCGGGTCGTGGGTCGACTCTAACTAAAACGGAACTCCTGGCCAGGCCACCGGTGTCGGCCGCGGAGTAACTGCAGCAGGGCAGAGTTTTCCTGAAAGGACGAAAGGATCTCTGTAGCAGCAACGATTGTTACACCCGGGTTAATTATCGTTACAATGGCGCGAAACGCGTTGCCCCGTAAAAGCGGGAGCTGGAATAATTGCGGGAGCTCCGGATTCCACCGCCACAATGAGACGATTTTGCTGAAACAAATTTTAACGCTGCGCGCAAAGTCTACAAATCCAGGGAATTCGCTCTCGATTTTGGTCGTCGCGTCGCCGAAGAGAATTATTTTAGTCAATGATCTTCGTAGTGTATTTTCAAGTGGAAAATTAAGCTTTTTCAGATTCACAATATTATCTCTCCTTTTACGTTATACTCAACCATCCGACAATAATTATATGATTTTAGAGAGTCCAGTTATATAATTGTAAGAATTATCCCATTTAAAAAAAATGCCACGTATGATTCAAATATGTTATAATTGTATTGTTGAATATAGCACATTCGATATTTCAGAAACGTGTATAAGGTTTCATTGTTACAGGATCACAAAATCTACACCGTAACCGCTAATTTAACTGCTTTAATTTCGCCTGGGGATCACCGCGTAATAGGCTCTTTTAGCAAGCTTTTCCCCCGGGAGGCTACTCGGGTAGCAATATGTCGAGATAAACGCAATTCAAATTACAACATCGTTTATAAGATAGACGGTCACTTTATGAAGTCCGACGTATACATTTCTCTCATCAAAAGATAGAAGGGCATAAGTGGGAAGAACGATGCATTATCATATTTCAGAGTACTCCATTCTGTGCCCTTTACGTAACCGTCAACGAGGAATTATCTTCGACAAGAAGTTCCTCGAGTATTCACTCTCTATCTTTAGCTAGGAGGATTTACATCTCAACCCGGATGAGCTCTCGAAAAGCTCTAAATGATCCTCTCTTGCTCTGTCTTTCTCTGTTTCGTACCATCTTCTCTCTTACGTACCGTAACTGATCTTCTGCGAGAAAACGTATATCAATTCCATTTTACCTTTAAGAACTGTTCTTGTATTTTTGATTAATTGATTGACTTTTAAATTCATATTATATTTCCGTTTTATGATATTACAATAATTTAATTTCTCAATCGTACTTTGATTCGTCTTTTCTTCTATAATGCGGGATTGATTATTAGATTATTTAGATGTAAATATAATAGCTTTAATATTTCTACAAAAAATAAAAATATAGTTTAAATTAATTAAGATAAAATGAAATAAAGTAGGATATAAAAAATAAAATAGATGTAAACTAAGATACATATTATATTATTAGCAATTAAAAAGAATTTTTAATGCAGACAGTTTTATTAGAATAAGGATCATATGTGCGTGTTTCCGAAACATAGAAGAAAAGAAAAAGAAAAAAAGGAAAAGACGGAATGACGACTGAAAAATACCAGCGAGAAATAGAAGAGGATATTTTTAGAGATTTATTGGCCATTTTGTGCATGTAAATCTGCCGGCGAACGTATTCGCTAAAAAGACGAACGACAAAAAAACGCGTACAGCCATCGATTTCAAATATCCCCCGTTCGCTCGTTCGTGCCCATTTATTTTTACGCGACCCTTACGGAAACGGTCCGCGGCCAGATCGACTTCCGACGAATCCGTCTGTGCCTGCGAAAGCGAGCCCTCGCCTCGCCAGGAACAGAAACGTTAAAGTGTCGTTCGGAAAGTAATATCACTTTTGTAACTCGCGAGCAAGTATTTGCGTTGAAATTTTCATAGATTGAAAATTTATGGCGAAACCGATGACGTGTACGCCGCAATATTATCAGCTCGAAGGAGAGCTAACTTTTAATATAAGCTATAAAAGATCACGGTGTAGGTGAATATCTTTTGAATATCATTATGTCGTACGCATGTAGACGTATATTCTGAATCTGATATTTATTACAAAAAAGCTAATCGAGTCGATACCGAAGTACAAAAAATAAACATCTCATCGGAGGGAATCGAAAAGTTGGAAGACTGCAGCAAAGTCTCGACGTGAGTTTCGTGAGTGGCGTAACTCCTGAGAAAACTTTTCGCTGCTTGCCGAATCTCGAAGGCGCCTTTCGTACATCGATGTAGTAAGGAGGGCTTACGAGAGACGAGAGTGGCCGTGTTCGTTCGAGCGTACGGATGTAAAATCTGCAGTTTTATCCGCCGGCGAGGGTGTACGTGAAACGTTGTAGAGACGTAAGGAGAGCTAGGAAGAAAAGAGGGAGAGAGAGAAAATCAAAGAAAGCAAAGATTCGTCCTTTCTTTGCGTGTTATCAGGATGGGGAGCCTCAAAAGAGCTAATATATCCCGGGACTCCGGGAGAGACAATTGGTCTATGGAAGGAAAGAAGAGTGAAAGATGATATAAAATAAGGGTGCGTCCCTCCCGTGAATTCCTTATAAAGGC